ACGCCGACTGTAGATACTTACTGATGGACTCTAAGTCCAGGTCGTCATGGAAGTCGACGTTCCTGACGAACCACGGGGCTCCGACGGCTATCCTGCAAAAACGGGATTGAATAATTTGGAATGATTTTAAGTGAGTGCGGGCCGCGTGAGCGAACACTACACTTGCATAGGTCATGACGGGGCGTATGCAAGTTTTGTAGAGTGTCACCTTATTTCTAAGGGACATTTTACTTCGCCTACATAATATCATCGGGTAGAAGCAAGGGTTTACATATTAAAGTCATTTATTCCAAATGTACTTAGTAAGTGCTTCCACAACTTTCTCTCAAATTTAAATGTATATTCATCGAATTTTTAAATACTTTTCATTTTATCACAGGAAGTCAACCGTGGAAATTTTAAAATTATTAATTCTACCGTGTTTTTATGGTGGTCAGTAACACTTATTTTTTTCCACATACATAAAATTAATAAGCTTGATATTCTGTAGGTTTGTTAACAATAAAAATACCTCGGATATTAGATTAAATAAGTTTTAATTATGTCTATCACTAGGAAAGACAACATCGAAAATCTTTACCCTTATTGACATCGTAGGAAGTCTAAAATTTCGACGTCACCCTAAACGCGTCATTACGGATCCTCCCGATCCATTAACGGTACTTTTAGGTACCTCAATCACCGGTCATCGTCCTCGTCGAACCCGTCGCTTGTGACAAAGGGCTCGACGAGTGAATTAACCCATAGACACAGCCCACTGAGTTTCTCGTCGGATCTTGTCAGTGGGTCACGTTTCCGATCCGGTGGTAGATTCTGCGAAGCACTGCTCTTTCTAGGGCCAGTGATAGCAACACTCCCGGTTTGAGCCCCGTGAGCTCACCTACCTACACATCAAGGAGAAGCTGAAATAGTCTCTCAAGGCTATCAACATAGGTAGGAATTTTTTTTTTTTTTTATGGCTTAGATGGTTGGACGAGCTCACAGCCCACCTGGTGCTAAGTGGTTACCGGAGTCCATAGACATCCACAACGTAAATGCGCCACCCACCTTGAGATATAAGTTCTAAGGCCTCAGTATAGTTACAACGGCTGCCCCACCCTTCGAACCGAAACGCATTACTGCTTCACGGCGGAAATAGGCGGGGTGGTGGTACCCACCCGTGCGGACTCCCAAGAGGTCCTACCACCAGTGATTACGCAAATTATAATATTGCGGATTTGATTTTTATTACACGATGTTATTCCTTCACCGTGGAAGTCAATCGTGAACATTTGTTGAGTACGTATTTCATTAGAAAAATTGGTACCCGCCTGCGGGATTCGAACACCGGTGCATCGCTACACACGAATGCACCGGACGTCTTATCCTTTAGACCACGACGACTACAATATGATGAAGTCTACAATGAAGTTTACAATATCTGCAATAAAACTCACATACAAGTATAAACGAATGTGCGCCTAACATTCCTGGTGCCCATAACCGATTTCTTATGATGATAACTCGTCTATTTTCGAGCTAACGCACACTGACACTGTTAATGACAGCCATGATTACAGTGTGTACTTAGTACTTACGAACGCCGTTATTTGATTTACCTTTGCCCCGGCCCTTGCCTTCCAAACGCAGTTCATTGCCACGGTCGATCATTACGCTTCGGATGTGCATGATCATTAAATGTTACGTAACTGCATACGGATGGGCATATTGTAATTACACTACGTTAAAAAAATTCTGTAGACACACTTCAAAATTATAAATTTTAAGTAGTAAAATTAATTGAGTTTTAGGCCATAGCTGATAGTTGCTGAGTCTTGCACTTAATGAGTTAAGTGACAGTAATTAATATGGCATTTAAATTAAATAGATGAAAAATAAATAAGTAGCATTTTTTTAAACTTAAAAACGTTTCGTAAGGTTCATGAAATGATGACAATACTGCTAAATGTACTCGTTATTTCAAAATGTTATCCCTTGGTCTGCTTTATAGATTTTTGATGTAAACATGGAAGGAGAAATCATTTATCTGGATCGGCATGAGAGAGAGAGAGAGAGTATTCTTTATTGTACACCAAAAAACAAATAAACAGTGCGATACATTAAACACAAAAAAAAAAATTGCATGCATATTATATCTTCTGTACTTTAACTGCGACACTTTGAATGTTTTACGGAAACCTGTATCGGTGCAGTAGCTAGAGCTCCTGACTGTTGCGCCGAGGGTCGTGGGTTCGATTCCCACATCGAGCAAATATTCGTGTGATGAACATGTTGTTATTAATTATATATGTTATTACATATTTTTAAATGTATATAAGTATGTATGTATCCATATAGGGAATTTGGGGACGGATGACCCTGCAAGATTTGTTCCCAGTTATTTATTCACATTTATTGCTTAGTCTACTTGCAAAATACTCGTTGTATATCTTATAATGTATTATGTATAATATGTAATCTAGATTTCTACATTAAAATTGTATTTTTTTAAAATTTGCAATGTCGTAGTGCATCGCCCAATTCAGCAAGATTCAAGTCATTTTAATCTCTTAAGCTGTAAGATTGTTTAGATTTACTAATTTCACTGTTAGTTCGCAGTTAGATAGTCGCTATAGAACAAGCACCACGTATCTTACCATTCCGTTACATAGCATATCCTTAGTATAAAAAACCGTAATGAATATCGCACCGCTGGGAATCTCAGAACAGTAATCACGATGTTGCATTTTAATTATTTAATCATCGCTCTAGGTGTATGTGAAATTTGTATGACTGACGTTTCCGGGCCATGATTAATAAGACCCTTTTTTTCGCTTTGAATTAAATTATGGATTGGTATTAATTGCTATGTTCTCTCATCGTCGAACTCTCAGCCGTATAGCGGCTATCAAATCCTTCAAATCGGAGCATATGTCTGCTTCGCACTCCGACTGATAACTCGCTCATTTTAAGTATTGATCGCAAAGTTCAAATCCAGACGGATGGGTAACCCTAGATTTACTTTCCATATTACTATACTGAGACCTTAGAACTTATATCTCAAGGTGGGTGGCGCATTTACGTTGTAGATGTCTATAGGCCCAGTAACTACTTAACACCAGGTGGGCTGTGAGCTCGTCTATGCATCTACGCAATAAAAAAAATATAATAAAAAGAAATTTTAAATCTAGAACACGCATTATTTTAGCGAACATAGAAAGGAAATAAATTGTAAGAATGGATACATCGTAACACCAAATAAAGCGGCACGACACGAGAACCATCTCATCGTGGCCGCCGGTAACTACATTCCCGATCCTCAAGCACCGGTCATCGTTCTCGTCGAACCTGTCGCTTGCGACGAAGGGCTCGACGAGTAAATTAACCCTCAGACACAGCCCACTGAGTTTCTCGCCGAGTCTTCTCAGTGGGTCGCGATTCCGATCCGGTGGTAGATTCTGCGAAGCACGGCTCTTGCTAGGGTTCGTGTCGTCGCAACGTCGTCAGGTTTGAGCCCCGTGAGCTCACCTACTAGTTAAGGTTCCGCTGATATAGCCTCTCAAGGCTATCAGCTTAGGTAGGTTTAAAAAGAAAAACCAAATAAACCCGAAACATTAATACAAATAAAGGCATTATCAACACTCAATCAGAGCTTAAGCAGTAATAAAATTTCGTATCCTATAACTGGCTTTTATACTTCTTAATAGCAACAATGACATAAATAAATTTTACTGTACATACATACATGGTTTTAATAGCCCACGAATAACGCGTAATGAATACTGCTCAAGAATTATTCCGCATTTCTAAAGCTGAAACTATTACGTAAAACGACTCTAATATAAATAATTAAGGTTGAGTTTACTATGGCAAACGTGGTTTTCCTAATTTAATTATTTCAATGTTTAAAATATACGTGATGTGGTATAATGTCGCTGAGCAAGTGAAATGGCAAGTTAAATGCCGTTTAGGTGCAGTTTAGGTGGCCTCTCACAAGGTAGACTAGAAATCTGGTGGCATATGAGCTGTAACTAAATGGTGAGTGAGATTTAAGCGCACTTTACTGGTGGTAGGATCTCTTGAGAGTCCGCGCGGATAGGTACTACCACCCTGCTTATTTCTGCCGTGAAGCAGTAATGCGTTTCGGTCTGAAGGGTGGGGCAGCCGTTGTAACTATACCTAAGACCTTAGAACTTATGTCTCAAGGTGGGTGGCGCATTTACGTTGTAGATGTATATGGGCTCCAGTAACCACTTAAAACCAGGTGGGCTTTGAACTCGTCCACCCAGTAAAGCAATAAAAAAAATAAAAAAAACTTTGCGTTAAGTGGCTACTATTTCGACAGTCTACTTCAAGACAGATATAACCAGAAAGGTGGTACGTAGCCATTCGGGATTACACTATACACTAGTGGTAAACGTTCCGTGTGATCCCGGTTTTTTTTTTATTAACCTTGTAGGCAGACGAGCATGGCCCACCTGATGGTGAATGGTTACCGTCGCTACTAGACTTCACCAATTTCAGGGGTAGAGCCAAACCGCTACCTACCCTATTACCAGCACTATCATCGTTTCTTTTCTAACTACATGGCATCAACAGCTCCTATCTTCGGCACACGACGTTTCACATGAGTGATTAAGACAATTTTTTACACTTCCCAATAAAAAAACAATGTTTTCAAATTTGGAAGATAAGTCAGTCATTGTGTCAATAATATATTCTGAGGTGTGCATTGACGATCTCTTTTTGGTATAAACGGTTCTAGAAAGGACTTTTTTTTTAATCTACTATATTTTACCACAGTATATTAATGTACCTTAATTTTCAACACTTAAGGTACATATTATTAAATCTATTTTAAATCTGTAAGTCTAGACCTAACGCTCTGATTGGCATAGAAATCCAATACCATTGCGATTTCGGGATCAATTTTCATTTTCATCGCATATAAATACTGGTCGATTTATTCTAAAATCAAACAACAGACGGTTTCTTCGATAGAAACATCTCTTCTAATCAAAATGATGCAAAAGGTGAGTTTTTTTAATAGCTCTTGGTGTACAATTCATTATATCTTTGTACGTCAAAGCAAAATCGCTGTCTTTTTTNCTGTAAGTCTAGACCTAACGCTCTGATTGGCATAGAAATCCAATACCATTGCGATTTCGGGATCAATTTTCATTTTCATCGCATATAAATACTGGTCGATTTATTCTAAAATCAAACAACAGACGGTTTCTTCGATAGAAACATCTCTTCTAATCAAAATGATGCAAAAGGTGAGTTTTTTTAATAGCTCTTGGTGTACAATTCATTATATCTTTGTACGTCAAAGCAAAATCGCTGTCTTTTTTAACAATCTATTTTATTTTTGGTGACTTTGGATAAACAGAAACATAATTATATAGCTACCAAAGCTCGAAATCTCAATTGTATTCCAAGGCTGCAAAAAAAAGCATCCACAAAAAATCTGTTCAGAATGTTTCATACATAATAAACCTTCCTTAACTCCATCCTTCTCAAATCCTTAATGATGGAGCATTTTAAGTTAATTGAACTGAAATTCGAAACTGAGTAATCCCTCCTTTTGTAGATCACCTTTTTCTCTGGACTGATCCTATCAGCAACTTGCATGGTGTTGCACCAGCAACAGCCAGCGATACCGCAGGTTCAATATGACAATCCGAACTACAACTTCGCGTATGACGTCAACGACGGCTATACCGGAGATATCAAGAGTCAGCACGAAAGCAGACGAGGTGACACTGTATTGGGCCAGTATTCTTTGCTTCAACCGGACGGAATCAGGAGAACTGTGGATTACAGAGCCGACGACCACGCTGGATTCCAAGCAAATGTCAACAGCCAAGGCCTACCTGTATCCCAACATGCCAATGTTGGCTATCCTGCTTCGGATCCTCAACTGAATCAAGTCTACCAACATGCAAACCCAACCTCTGCTCCAATCCCAGTAGCAGTATCTAGGACATCGTATGTTCAGACCGTTTCAAGTCATGGACACAATCTGTGGGCTTAATTATCCATTACTCGGGTTTGCTAAACGATCAATGTTAACTCTAGTTTGCATTTATATTTCTATGTAGTCAGTAAGTGAACGATATAATACGTAATTGAGCACCGGTCCGGCTGACCTTGCAGCCACGCACTTATTAAAAAGGAAATTGGTTTTTGTGGCGTAACTCATTTCTATCGTACCATATTTGAAATATGTATGTATTTGTTTATATATTTTTTCAATGAAATAAACTTGAAGCAAATTTTCTGTTGTTTAATTAAGCAAAACAAATTAGTTTCCAATTGAATCTATTCGTCGGGCCATGTTTCTTGAGCTAGACGCACAATAGATTCGAATGAAAATGAATTAGTGTTCGCATTAGAAGTAGGAACAAAATGCGAGGAAGGTTAGTTTTGTTATTAATGGCTGCCTTAATGATCGCAATCCAAACGCAGATACTGCAAATATCAATATTATTTTACTACAATTACAATTTAATGTTTCAATTCTAACGATGTTTTAATATGAAATTAATTTAATTCATACCATAACTACTAGATTTGCTTCTTCTGCTTCTAAGTTCGAAAAAAATTTCAACCTTAAAGAAAAATCATTTGATTATCGGCACAAAATTGTCTATGTTTTCATTGAATCGAATTCCATTTCTATACGGAAATGATGTTTTCCATTCAAAAAGACGATCCCAACCATGATCATAATATTTGATTCGGCGAATATCGGATATTAGAATGAGGTAAAATTTGTCCGTGATTTTAGTATACCTTACATCTAAATCAGACTACTTAGTAATTTGTTATAATGCGAATTTTTTGTTTTTTGCGAAAAAACAATCTTATTAAACCACATTTTAGGTAAAATCTATGACTCAAACCATTGTTATTTTAATACGGAGTTAAGTGAAAAAATTCACGAACCGCATGAAGACAAGTGACAACCAAAACCCATAGACATCAGATACCATGAGACAAGAGGCCTTAAATGTATTGTATCCAGTAAGCGCTAATTGGCAATCGCAGTGCACCGATATAATTCTTAGAAAAGGCTACTACCTAATCTCTGATTAATTCCTCGGTCGCCTTTTACGCTACGGGAAGATACAAGGGGTGATGCCGAGTAGCCTCTAGGCTCATACCACTAAAATCTGACATTTTGGGCACGAATATGTAATGATCGCATCGATAAAGCAAACATAAGTGACAATTGCATTGATAATAACACGTGAAGCTCAGTACAAGTCAAACGAGTTCATAAACGAGAGCTTTATTGAGTGCATCGTCCTCAAGCGATCTTGATCTTTAGTAGCTTCCTTAATATCTTGTAAAAAGTCTTTTAAAAGTAGATCTGGAATGTTTGCTTTTTATATATAAAATGGGCTACATTGCGTTAGCAATATCATACCCCTTGGATATCCAGACAAAGTCACAACTGAAAATCTAGACAAAATGGTTGCCAAGGTAAATTTTAATAAATTCTGTTTTAAAATGTATCATAATTTAAGAATTCAGCAGAGACTTTGTCGTTTCATCACCAAAAAAATTTTGACATGGAAATTTTGGTTGAATTTGTCGAATTTAATTTGGATTTTGTAATTAGCAGATTTTTCTTTGAAAAAATAAACACGTCGTAAGAAGTACACGTCGTAAAAAAAATTTTTTTATTTAGTTTGAAGCAAGCGGTAACAAGTTTGAGGTTCTTTCAACTATAACCCAAAGCTTTTTATGCCACCTAGTGCTGGGATATAAAGTCGGTCACGTCAGTACGTAAGACCTAATCCGAAATTTGTAGCCAAAATTAAAACCGAAAACACTGCTGTTGGTGAACTCAGTTCTCCGACGAAACTCGAATTACAGTCCACACAAGACTATCCGACCATATACGCTATTTAAATCACACTTTAAACCACTTAATAAAAATTAGGCAAATAGTTTAATAAGGCGTATTTTCACAGTGTTTCATCATCCTCGCCCTGGTGGCCGTCGCTAGCGCCGGTGATTACTCCAACTTCGCATACAGCGTCGCGGATCCTTACACGGGCGACTTCAAGAACCAGGTGGAGAGCCGACTGGGAGACAACGTGAAGGGTCAGTACTCGCTGCTGGAGTCTGACGGTACTCGCAGGACGGTCGACTACGCCGCCGGAGCCGAAGGCTTCAACGCTGTGGTCAGGAAGGACCCCGCCTTGCTCGCCGCTGCTCCTCTCATCTCCGCCCCTTACGCCTACGCCGCACCCTATGGACTCCCTTACTATGCTAAATTCGGTGCTCTCCCATACAACGGCTACTTCCCTTACAACTATAAAGGAATCCTTTACTGAAACAGAACGCGTTTGAGCTTGTAAATAAATATTTTGATGGTTCACATTGTCTATGAATTCCTACTTTTATTTTTAATACAATATTAAACACATACTTGAAATAATGTTTTTCATTGAATTGCTATTTAAATATTTTCTTTTGTGTTTTTGTTGCAATTATGTTTTTTTTATTACAAATATTAAAATTACATTCCGATCCTTATTTTTATGTTCTCTCAATTTCAATTTATAAAACATGAACAATTTTAAAATAATCATATTGAGGCATTAAGTCAATAGAAGCTTTAAATAAGACTAAAAAAATTATACTATAAGACAACGGTATGAGCCACCAATATTTGACAAATGCCAACATTTTTAAATATTATGATTCAATCTCATAGGATATTTATTTACATAGCTTTTGGCTGTGATTTTTGTAGCCTTAAAATATGGGCATTGTAAATTATTACTTTTATAACGATTTCATGATGAACGGAAACAAAAGGTACTACCGAAATTTTCTTTATACTTTATTCCTTTTATATAAGCTAAGCAGCTTTTACTACTAGCTCCAGTGTGCAGTGGCTAGGATGTGTTCCTGACTTGGCCGATGTATATGGCCGACTTTTTTTCCCTACCTATGCTGATAGCCTTGAAAGGCTATTTCAGCTTCGTCCTAACATTTAGGCTCATGGGGCTCAAACCGGGAGTGTTGCTAACACTGGCCCTAGCAAGAGCAGTGCTTCGCAGAATCTACCACTGGATCGGAAACGCTACCCACTGAGAAGATTCGGCGAGAAACTCAGTGGGCTTATGGGTGACGGTGAATACTCACTAGTAGTAGAAACCAGTACTTTTGACAAAATTAATAACTGTGTGCAATGACACATAAAGCCAAAAATGAAAAGACAATTTCAACAAAACATAAATGACATCAATCATCAAGATTTAGAAAAGTATATATTATTATTTATTTACCGATTTGTAATCGAAACCGTTTATTTAAAGACATCCTACCTTTCATGATGGCTTATAGTGAATTCATGCGTAAAAGTAATTTTGTAATTCAAAATTAATGAGAACTTTTCTTTAAAATATTTATAATCGCTTTTTTAACTGAGATCGAACTTCTATTTACTAAGTCGATATCTTCGAAAAATTTTGTATGTATCTAGAAAAATATTGTGGCAATACAATTAAGATTTTGAACTAATTTCTCAAGAAGGGTAGCGCCATTCACATTGGAGACTTTGGACCCAAGCAACCGGTTGATGTATCGCAGGAAATCCTCAGCTCATCTTTGGCGATAAAAAATAACCAACAGAGCCACTATTGCCAAACAAACGCTGAGTATTTTTGGGTTGCTCTTGCAAAAAAATATGTGTAAAAGAGTCATTAGTTCAATGTTAATCAAGATTAGATAATCACAGTACCAGCATTTTCATGTTTAATGTATTTTTATACAAATATTCTCGTTATATTTTGTAGTCATTATGAAACAGTACTCGTTAACTGATGAACATTATTTGGTAAAGTTATTAATTGCAACTAGCTGAAACCGTTGCCATGAATTATGATAATGGGCCTTATCTGATTCCTTAAAGTGACCAGATACGCAGGGAAGCTAAGGTGACAAACAGCATATATAAAATCCCAATCTAAAATAATAGTTTACATAAAATATGTATTACTCGTAGAACAGATAGCTTTTTAGCCAGATGACAAGTCACCTTTGGAAGTGGTCAAGGTGTTCTAATGACTCGGCGTAGATTACAGAAATTAGATTGGGGATCGCACTGCCGGTAGCTGTAGCAAGCCTCCAAACTGGAGATTTAGCTCCAGTGGTAAATAAGGAGGTTCGGAACAAAAATCGATCAATCCGATATGACATTTTTTCAATAATGTATAAAGTTTTTATATGGGTTTTCGAAGACACAGATAATAAGCCAATTTCATCGGCAATGGCAATTTCTATACACCTATCGACNATTAGATTGGGGATCGCACTGCCGGTAGCTGTAGCAAGCCTCCAAACTGGAGATTTAGCTCCAGTGGTAAATAAGGAGGTTCGGAACAAAAATCGATCAATCCGATATGACATTTTTTCAATAATGTATAAAGTTTTTATATGGGTTTTCGAAGACACAGATAATAAGCCAATTTCATCGGCAATGGCAATTTCTATACACCTATCGACACATTAGTGAAATGAGTACCTTATAAGAAATTACAAAAAATAAATAAATGAAAGAATCGATTTTTGATCAGTTTGACAACAGATAATTTGCCGTTTCGTCTTAGTCTAGTCGGCGAGATGGTTATTTTGTGAGCCCAAAAAATTTACCAAATAACGGACCTCTTTAGGTTTTCTGGTAGTTAACAAATGTAAAATACTATACCTTGACTGACTATATATCTATCTATAAGCCCACAGGCGTCCAGAGCTGCACAGAGTGTATTGTATCCAGACAAATAGACCGAAGTCCTGTCTATACGGCTATGACAAATGGGACAGCCACTATGCAGTAAAATTCAGACTAAATTTTCGTGGGTGGCAATGTTTACGTTCTATCATACATGCAGCTATAGTATGGATGTATGTATGTATTTATCAGCTTCCATGATCAGCATTGAAAACCAAATAAACCCTGATGAACTTGCCTACCTATCTTCAGCAATAAAGTTTCCCTTGAACGCTGAATTAAATACAGCAATTAAATTACGAACAGTTTCCACTTGATTCCAAATTCCAATTTCCAAATTCCGATTTCCGAATTAAGAACAGTTACCACCTTTGCTGGTGGTAGGACCTTTTGGGAGTCCGCGTGGGTAGGTACCACTACCCTGCCTATTTCTGCCGTGAAGCAGTAATGCGTTTCGGTTTGAAAGGTGGGGCAGCCGTTGTACCTATACTGAGACCTTAGAACTTATATCTCAATGTGGGTGGCGCATTTACGTTGTAGATGTCTATGGGCTCCAGTAACCACTTAACACCATGTGGGCTGTGAGCTCGTCCACCCAATTAAGCAATATAAAAAAAACCTAAAGTTGAGTAGAGAACTATAATTTAACTGCAATTAAACTCCTTTGTTCCGCATTCGTCGACTGACAAATTTGTTCGGTTAAACCCTCGACGCGGTGACCTAGAGTGGTACATATCTTTTACTTCCTATTATTAGCTCGGAACGAGTGCGCAGGACCGACTATAAAAAGACAAATAAAAACCAGGATTAATCATTCACAGTCCACTGTGCAGCAAAACCGTACCTATTCAAAATGGCAGCTAAGGTAAATCACATTTAAGTTACAGTTTACGGAAATTTAAATCGAGCTTTCTTCTGCAGTGGCGTGCGTGAGAGATTATTATTGTGAATTAATGTTAAGCCTGAGAGTTCAAATATTCGAATGCGGACTTTTGTTTTATTTTATTTATTGTAATTGTGAATTTTAATTATGGCACTTCCTTTTTCTATATTAAGATTTGAAACAAGTCGTTTTGCATTTAAAGTTGGTCTAGATTACGTTTGTTCTGGATTCAAGTATTAATATTTCGAAAACTTTGTAATTTGGAGCGACTAGTAGGTATCTATTCCAAAAAAATATTCTCATTTTCTATTATAAGGCCATGAAAAGTGTTGATTTTTTTTTTGAGAAATTTAGATATTTCTTGATCTTTTGATTGGAAATGTAGTTAATGTATTATTTCTTCAACAGTTCGTCGTTGTTGCTTTCTTGGTCGCGGCCGCTCACGCTAGCGCGATTCATGGCGACTACACCAGCTTCTCCTATGGCGTGTCAGACCCCCACACCGGCGACGTCAAGAGCCAGCACGAGACCCGCGTCGGTGACAGCGTAGTAGGACAGTACTCTCTCTTGGAATCTGACGGTACTAAGCGCACTGTCGACTACGCTGCTGATGCTCACTCTGGATTCAACGCCGTCGTGCGCAAGGACCCCGCTCTTGTACACACTCCCGTTCTGGCCCACTCTGCGGTCGTCGCGCCCTTGGCTCATTCCGCTGTGATCGCTCCTGTAGCCCACTCAGCCGTTGTTGCTCATGGCGCTCACTTGGGTTACGGTCACGGAGCTTCGTTGGCCTACGGCGCTCCTTTGGGCTACGCTCACGGAGCCATCGCTACCCCTCTCGCCCACGCCGGTCCCCTCGCATACTCCGCCCCCCTCGCTCACGGTGTGGCCTATGGAGCGCACGGTCTGTACGGTGGACATCTTGGCTACTCCAAACTCTACTAGATAATTATTGAAATGGTAGTGAATGTTATGTCTGACGATAAATGCTGTGATTTAATAAAGAAATGTAAATAAATTATTATTGTGTTTTAATCAATTTAATGGGTACTCATTACACCATTAATTTAACATACTTTGTTGCATACATAAAGTACACCAAGAAAATTTTTAATTTTAGTATTATATATAAAAATTTACAATGCCGATCTCAACATTTACAATGGCCAAGGTACAATACACTAAAAAAGAACTAATAAATTTATCCAATTAACCTTATTAACATTCCTAGATCTGCCTTTTTAAGTTCTATACAAATCCAATTTTATAGGTTTACCACTACTGCATTAATTATACTACATATAATATTAATAACGAATAAGATGTGCCAAGATAGTAAACTGTATATAATACTCACTAAAATGATAACTGCTATTACAAGTACAAAATTGGGTTCGGAACCACGAGTTTTAAGGGCGGCGGCGTTTACATTATTGCCAAAGATGCTAACATAGCTGACGAATGTAAGACATAAACATGTTAAAACAGTGCACGATTCTTTAGCAAATTTTTTAACTTCTCATAAATTTACAAAAATCGTTGACCTTTGCAACGCAATTTAATGAGTCGTAACAAAGACTGACTGCTAATCCAGATCCCACGAGGTCACAAACAATATTCACAAGCGTTTGGAAACACCGCACCGTTTCATAATTCAATGATCTCAAAATTAACTGCACCTTTGTTTAATGTCTTCATTGATAACATCTAAAACGGCCGGAATGTTGAAACACGAGAAACAACACGATTGAAGCTTAAACAGCGTGTCAGTATGCATATTCTAGTAAATTTACTAATTGAGGTGAATATTCTTAGTCTGTTTATAAATATGTATGATTCGATATAAAATTATCTGTCGGCTCTCCCGGAATATTAAATAGAAGTGAGAGGGAATCAGCAGTGACGTATAAAAAGCAATTTATTTTTAAAAATATTTTTATTTCGTAACAGTATCAGACCTTGCAGTTCAGACTTTAATTAATCACCAGCCGAGTCTCGGGTTATAGCCTAATCCACGGCTGTATACTCCGGCAGCCAAAGGGTTGGCTAGAGCACCGTGAGGGAGAGCACTGTTAGGAGCCCATCCTGCACCGTTAGCCAATGCTGCATTAGGCGCCCAACCAGCTCCATGAGCTAAAGGTCCACCAAGATTAGGGGCGCCATATGCACCATATCCAGCTGGTCCACCGAATCCACCTTGACCATACGCACCGTGTCTGCCATAGGCACCGCCATATGGATAAGCACCCCCATTAGGATAAGCACCAGGTCCGTTGTGCAAGATGGTATGTGAGTAAGATGAAACAGAGGGAGCACCATGTCCATAGTTGAGACCGTTGGGGAAACCACCGAGGTTACCTACTGCACCACCGTGGCCAAAGCCTAAGGAGCCCGGGAAGGCACCGTGACCGAGAGGACCGGCAGCTCCAAAAGGACCGACGGCACCAAAAGGCGCAACGGAAGCACCATGAACAAGGGGACCGGCTGCAGCGTGGTGTCCAGCGTGGTGTCCAGCGTGGCTTAATGGGTTAACGGATGCCAAAGGATTAACCGGTGTCAAGGAAGGTACTGGAGCTAATGGGACCGATGCGGCACCATGAGCATGTGCTATGTTATTTGCATGAGCTACTTTAGCAGCATGATCAGCCGCGGCATGTGCTGCAGCCGCTTGGTTTGCATAACTCAAATGTCCCGCTGCAAGAGGTGCAGCGTGAGCCAGCGGATTGACACCAGCTAACGGAGAACCATGAACTAGTGGAGAAGCAGCGGCTAATGGTGCATGGGACAGTGGTCCAGCGCTAGCTAATGCAGCAGCATGAGATAGAGGAGCACTAAGTGCTGTGTTTCCGAGAGGTCCAGCGGGTTCCTTGTGTACTACGGCCTTAAAGCCAGTAGCGTCGTCCGCGGAATATTCGACGACGCGCTTGGTCCCGTCAGCTTCGAGGAGCGAGTATTTGCCAACCACGTTTCCGCCGACACGGTTTTCCTGTTGATCCTTGACGTCTCCGGTATTCGGGTCTGATACTCCATATGAGAAGCTCGAGTACCCACCGCTGGCTCTCACTGTTGCCACCAGCAAGGCGAATACGAGGAACTACAAATTTAACAAACATTAACTTATTAATCTAATTTAAAAATCTAATTTAAAATTTAATAAAAAATCTAATTTATTGTTTAACGATGTTACGAATCGAGCAATTTTTTTCGTGCTATTTCGTGAGCTTTTAGAAGTCCTGCTTCTGTTATTGCGTTTCTAGATACAACAGTGACCTAATATTCCAATAAATTCCAGTGACCACTGTAGTGGATCCTGAACTCTTTTTTATATTTTTTTATTGCTTAGTTGGGTGGACGAGCTCACAGCCCATCTGGTGTTGAGTGGTTACTGAAGCCCATAGACATCTACAACATAAATGCGCCACCCTCCTTGAGACATAAGTTCTAAGGTCTCCGGTATAGTTACAACGGCTGCCCCACCCTTCAAACCGAAACGCATTACTGCTACACGGCACAAATAAGCAGGGCGGTGGTATCTAGCCCTGCGGACTCAAGAGGTCCTACCACCACTCTTCGACAACATCAATAAAAATGCGAATTTAAGTACCTTAACTGCCATGATGTTTAACTTGTATCCGTGTCGAACCTGAGCTCTGAACTGAATCAACCCCGCACTAATCTAATATTTATATTCACACGATATCTTCACATCGTCTTTTTGGGGGCCAAAGTAGGAAATTACGCGTTACACAGAACGTTCTGACGAAACATCTGCTTTCAGAGGTTAATTACCATCTGAAATGAGTATCTATTATGTTAATTGTCAGTTTTAATTATGAAGATCGAGTGTAACATTGATGCTGCTAGTGCAGATAAGTTTGTTTTTTTATACAAATTCTCATAGAGAAGTTAACAATCATTATGGTACCATAGAACCATTGTTCAGTTAAGTTATACGTTGGTAAGTAAACATTTGTTTGAAAACATCAAGATTTGATGATTATATTTTATTGGAAACCTTTGATACGAGTCATTATTTGATTCGAGTTTGAATCCATATTTACTTTTAAGTTTATACCATTAACTAATCTACGTGATGGCCTGAAGATAACGCTATCCTGCCCATTTCAAAGCTGAAGCAATCAGTCATTCCGAAAAGCAGAATAATCATTGTATCAGAGCAGTTAATACATCATTCGTATATTTGAAACCAAAACAGCAATTTCCACGACTTTGTATCCAGGAACCGCTTTATTCCATGGGTAGAGACGTTGTGGTGTGATCTGGGCTTATCTCTCTAATAAGAAAAAACAGAATAGAAATAATATTTTTGCATGTCGATTGTTTGATCTGAACCCAGCCCCCTCGTGGCGGCGTAGGGCTTGGGAATACCAGCACGAGGTGCCCGTCGAACACGTGCCGCGATTCGCGGCACCGTGTGTACTTTCTTAACAAAATATTGGCTTATCACTCATCAGAACCGATGACCTCGTCGAATCTTAGGAAGAAGGCTTTATGGTGAGGATGGGTAAAGAAGGAAGTGATGATGAAAAACCCTAGCAAAACCGAAGTAAGACACACGTGTATAGGTGGTACCATTCCGTTCGAGAGGCAAAAAGAAGTGACAGATGCCAAGTCGCGAATCCGTGTCAATTCCACTGAAGTATGAAACTTAGGTCTATGGTCAATTCGCAACCAGTCTTCACAGATTAGTTTAGAGCTCATTACAGATTGGTTTCGAACATCCATAATTAGAGTTTCATTGATTCGTAAAAGGCATCACTTACTCCTACTTCCATACTCCACCTTTTTTGTGAACTCGAGGCTGAAACACACGAACGTGCTTTATAATATATCCTCATCACCATAAAATCCAGCACTTTGATACCTACTGCTGCGCATAGGCTTGCCCCTTTTTATGCCATAACGTTCCATCAACCCACCATTCTCATTCACGCCTGCACCATCGTCCTAACTATGCCATCGGCCCACAGTACCATAGATCTTCTCGCACTTCTACGATGTAGTATCAACCACCATTATCAATATCCTACTCCATCTATTGCCATTTCGTCTCCCTGAATATCCAGCCCACCCACATAATATCATATCTGGTACTGTCTTACCAACATTTGCAACATTTGTTTGGCGCATACCCTATATATACCTTAGTACCATATGCCTCTAATTATACTACCGGTGTACCCTACTACCAATATAATTAATTAAAGCCATACGTTTTAAAAAATACGTCATTGAATCATGAAAAGTTATAATCATGAATTACGATAAAATTACGACCACGGGGCGACCACTAGTTTTAATAGGCATTCATATTTTAAAAACTATATCAATGTTAAGAATTTATAAAGTTAAATTTGATTTATAGATACAAAACTACTGGTTAAAGTTCCCTAATTCGCATTTAATTAGCTTCAAATATTTTAAAAGCGAAAGTTAAGGTTTTCCTTGAATCTATCGTTTAGACCATATTCTTCCTGCAATAAAGCACATTGCGTATTCGCGTCATTAATACGAAGATGCGCGTATATAAAGCGAGTTATGTTAATAACATTCATCACTACACACAGACAACAATTCAGCAATGTACTCAAAGGTACTTGTATGAGAACTTAAAAATCGCACTAATTCTATAAGCAATGTATTTTGTTACTAAAAAAGTTATTGCAATATTTTTATTCTTACAATTGGGCAGGCGAGTTCACGATTATCAGTCCATGGACATCGCAATGTGAATGTCATCACCCTTGTGACATTATGTCGAAGTCTGTATGTGTCGACTGTTCGCTAATCAAACTTTTGGTTGGATCTTATACAGGTTCACAATATGCTCTACCACCATTGATTATGTAAATTTATATACGACAAATTTTCTTTTCGTTCGTGAACTCAAATTAGTATTTTATAAGAAAATTTTCTAAGTAAATACTGATTCGTGTTCGTATTTAAATGTTTTCTAAGAAAATATGAATTTCGAATTTAACCTCAAAAATGGTCTAATAACTGACCTAATCATTAGGTCACAGACTAAATTGTATGTTTTGTTTTGCACAGCTCGCCTTTTTCGTCTTGTTGGTGGCGTCCGCTAAAGCCAGCGGTGGCTATTCGAGTTTCTCTTACGACGTTTCGGATCCGAACACCGGTGACATCAAGGATCAGCATGAAAACCGTGTCGGCGGAAACGTGGTCGGCAAGTACTCGCTCTTAGAAGCTGACGGCACCAAGCGCGTCGTCGAATACTCCGCAAATGACGCAACTGGATTCAAGGCTGTAGTGCACAAGGAACCTGCTGGACCTTTGGGTGCATTGGGCGGTGCTCTTAGCCACAGCGGGATCGCTCCTGCTGGTAGTTTGGCTCATGGCTCTCTTTTAGCAGGCGTCTCTCCTTTAGCTGGTGTCCCTTCTTATGCTCATGGCTCCCGTGCTAGTGCCACTTTAGGATACAACGCTCTCTCCAATGATTTGGGTTATGCTGGTTCTCCTAGCCACATTGGTTCTTTGTATGGCGGCTACGGTAACGGACTCGCAAATCCTCTAGGCTACGGAGGTTTTGGTACACCCACTGTCTCTTCCTACTCTCACTCAATCCTCCACAATGGCCCTGATTCGCGACCCTACGGCAATGCTTATGGCGGATACGGTGCCCACGGTGGATACAGGGGCTATGGCAGTCCTCTTGCCAACGCTGGGCTCGCTCACGGAGCTGGATGGTCTGCCAATGCTGGACTTACTCACGGAGCTATCGGTAATCCCCTCGCAACTGGTGTTTATGCAGGAGGCGCGGGATACGGCTCTAAGCTCGGTTGGTAAACGTGGTTTCTAATCTGATATTGAATATGGCTAGTAAAATAAAATGGTGTTTAAAATAATTGAATATGAAATACCCTTTTTTGTTATTATTTGCAATACGACAGCTGTTAAGTCGAACCAATAAAACTTGTTGGAAATACTTTGTTTTTGTCAGTTATAGTTTAAATCTTTCCTTTTCAGTTAATCTATACTAGTCTATACCAATATATAAATCTACAGTGGTTTTTATGGATGTTCCGTTATAACTACTTAACCATGCATCCGATTGACTTGAAACTTGGTATCCATATAGAAAATACATGTATTTAACGGATAGGCTAATATTTATATGAGTGTTGGACTCCCTAATAATAATGACAATAAACAATTATGTTAATTTTAAATGCCCAGCGAAGCGGACGAGTACGAGTATGTATAAATTGATGATTGAGCAACGCCCTCTTATGTCAACCATAAATATTACATTGAAGATTTCATTATTTCCCCAAGCTGTGGCGGAACATATTGTCGATTATTGCTGGAAATCGACTGAAGAACCCAAAATTATAAATACTATACTATTCTGTTTTTTTGCCCTACTTATTCAGTGGTAGCCTAGGGGGCTATTCCAGCTACGCTTTGACCGGTACGTGAGCTTATAGGATCAACCTGAAAGAATTTGCTTACACTAGTCCTAGCATGAGCAGTATTTTGCAGAATCTACTGTTTACTATGCATTTAATTTTAGGAATAAATTAATTATAATCATGAACTATAATGAATACCTACACATATACATAAATAACATTAAAAACTACTCCAGCGGAAGTTATAAATTTGCAAAATTACAGGTAATAGGACTTATTATTAGCCTGCCTGAGAATATACCAACATTCTACTTCAGCTATGTGTATGTGTATTTTGTATTTACTTCTGGTTTGTACAGTAGATTAGATATTGTAAGGTGAAACGATAACCTCATTCCCCAAGTTTTCTAGAATTTCTACGTGTTTTCATATTGTGATACCCATGTTCTCAAGGAATCACCTAAACCAAATGGGGGTTTAACTAGTTTGCTAACCTAAATACAAAATATGCAAGATGTTATTCATTCGTCGTGGAAGTCTTTCTGAATATTCCTAAGGTACTGAATATTTAGAATCGCTTAGAAAATTAAGTATCTGTACATTAACTTGTAGCCCAGGCATGTTACCGTCACAAAGCATCTTATCTCTAAGGCTACAGTTACTAGCCATGAGTATTCCTAAGCATAACTTAACCTAACCACTAGAAAGACATAAAAAATGCGGTTGTTTAAATTTACTTAATTAGATAAACATTTCTTTGGGAAAACTTTATGCAAATATAAATTAACATCCTATATATACAACCACAAGAACCGGTCACCGTCCTCGTCAAACCCGTCGCTTGCGACGAAGAGCTCGACGAGTGAATTATCCCATAGACACAGCCCACTGAGTTTCTCGCGTTTCCGATCCGGTGGTAGATTCTGCGAAGAACTACTCTTGCTAGGACCAGTGTTAGTAACACCCTGGGTATGAACCCCGTGAGCTCACCTACTAGCTCGGTGAATCTAGAATAACCCCTCGAGGTTGCTAAAATAGGTAGGAGAAAAAAAACCATATATACAATAGAGGTTTATAGGTAATTTACAAACTATAATAGAGTTTGTAAATATTTTTTGATAGTAAAATATTCAAGGTTTTTCAAAAATCAGTCAAAACGTACATATATGTTCACGGTTTTCGACAATAGACCGTTTATCGATTTACAACAGTAATCACGACGGTAAACCGGCTTAAGGTAATTTGACAATTTTAGGTAGTATGTAACCTATGAAATCATTTTGCAATGTTTGACCTTTTCTATGAAGTTACTTGATCCGTGGGCGCAACATTACATGATTTTCTTTATTATTTATTTAGAATACTTATAAAGTAACGTAACATAAATATGACAGATCTTTTACATGAACTTGACGATCGTATTTTTGTATTGCTTAATAAACAAATTTATATTTTTATATTTTTAATGGATATCTTTTTGCAATCTGTACCTACATACGTTAAAATTTATGCATTAAGACAGGCGATATCTAAAGTATACATAATTACCTCAAAAGAAATTCAGTTGTTGAGAATTTATAAGCCGATAGCTAAAAGCTCTGTAAAAAAATGTCACTCACTAAGTATTATACCAATTTAGAAACATTCATGTGGTCTTACACTGCTAGTTATTGTCTATTTCTTCAGCTATGTGCATAAACTAATATTTAATAATAAATAATATTTATTTTATATTAATAATAATAATTTAATACCTTCAATAATATATAATGATATCAGCACACTGTTAAATAGTTATGCATAACACTTTTAAGTTTTATCCATTTATCGTGTTAATAGTCTTAGTGTATAAATATCTGGGCTACCAGAGAGATACAAAATTATAGCAATTTTCTTCGAGAAAGCGATGCGACACGATGGCTCTCTTATCGTGACCACCTCGAATTACATTCTTAAACCTAGTTTGTTGGATCCTCCCGATCCACTCTCAGTGCTTTTAGACACTCCAAGTACCGGTCATCGTTCTCGTCGAACTTGACGAAATGTTGGATATGCAACCTAATCTACAGACACAGCCCACTGATTTTCACGCCGGATCTTCTCAGTGTCTCAGTAGGTCGCTATTTCGATCCCGCGGTAGATTCAGCGAAGTGCTGCTCTTTTTACGGCTAGTTTTAGCAATTTCTCTCAAGCAGAGACCCTTGAGTTGGCCTAACATGGCGTGCATAACTAAAATGACCTCTTGGTATCAGCTATTAGGCAGACAGAAAAAAAAATGCAATTATTATATATTTCTATGACATGTTCTTCTTCAAACGAGGCTTGTGGAGAGTATTAAGCGATAGGCAGCGGCTTGGTTCTGCCCCTGGCATTGCTGAAGTCCATGGGCGACGGTAACCACTCACCATCAGGTGGGCCGTATGATCGTCTGCCTACAAAGGCAATAAAAAAAAAGAATAAAAAAAAAAAAACAATTGACTAATGATCCCTTAAAACTGACATAAGCATTTTGGTCTTTTTTTATTAAATGATAAAGGAATCAGCTATTAATTTTGTGAATAAACTGTTTAAAACAGAATATTTTTCTTTTTTAAATTATCCGTCGGCAAACAGGACGCACTTGAATATCCATATGCTGTGTCCAAAAATCATTAAAATAGTTGTTAGATTTACATTGTATAATCGAATATACTACGTAAGAAACAGTAAAACTTAATCAATTCGTCCCGTTGCGATGTTTCCAACACCGATCTTTGTTAACTCTCACAAACCACATATTTGTTCACGCCGCCGCAAAACTAATTCGTTCAAGAAAAAACGCCTTGTTAAATGCTGATTAATATGGAATTCTGAAATATGATTTCTGGGTCGAATTTCTGATTTGATTTCCATGTATTGTTTTTTAATTTTATATTGTATTGCCAGCAATTGTGGCACATGAATAAATTCTAGCTTGAGGCTATTTAATGTGGAAGGTTTATTGAATTATTAGTGACGTACATCACTCATTATCCTTATCTTTCACCTTCTCCTCTACATCGATAAGCTCACTGACACATGCCGTGCTCTCTAAGAGTATCTGAGGTCGTCCCGGTCTCTTAGCTCAATGTGACGACTAATGAATATTTTTAGAACAAATTATGATATGGGTGTTTTTATCAAAGGTCGTATATGTTTTATTGTTTATCTACTTTTTTTTCAATGAAAATCGATAATATGCAAAGGGTTTTAAGAAAGATTTATTTCTGATTTATCTCGCGCTTAATTCCGATTTATAATTACGGACGCTTCGAATACATTACAGTTTTTGTGATCACAGATGAATAATGAACAGACAAATATTGTGCTAACTATCGTCTAATGTTCTTAGCAACGATTTAAAATTGTTACTTAGCGCTACTTAGCAGTTTACTTCTCATTATTTTTAGATCGACTCACGCCTAATCATTTTCGTTCACGTGGTAAAAAATTATAATGTTCTGATGTCTATAGGCGCCAACAACCATTAAATACTAACTAGGTGGGCTGTAATTTCATCAGTACATATAAATTACACAATAATTATATAAAAACCTGAATACCAATAGTTCTCAAGCTTTCAAATATATCTAACCTTCCTTAGGGAAAAAAAAATTAAATGTTATTTTGGAATATCTATCTATACGGTGGACTTTGTGCTTTCTGTGTTTTGTATGGTAAATTCCCTCAATTACTGGACCCCAATCCGACATACTGCCTACACCTGAAACTATTGCATTAAATAACAGTTCGTTTGATAGCACACGATTTTGCCGCGAAGCTAAAGAATCTGTGAAAAGTATCTTAAAAGCTGTTTCCCATTACTTATTTTCAAATATTTTTCAAAAGCTCACCAAACTGAGAATGGGTTGAATAATGTTGATTTTCTTTTAGACTTTTAAGTGTCAAATAGATATTCCAAGTAATTTTTAGTATAGTTCATTATGTTACGATGGTATATGAGATAAATGAAATAAACAGATCTTTGACCCACAATACACGCTATCGACAACCGAAAAACGAATTACAACAAAAAGAGAATGTTTTATTTTTCCTTGAAATAATAGTTTAGGCTCTCTCAAGCTTCCTGCAATAAACTGATTGCGCATGCGCATCGTTTGTTCGAAGATGTTCGTATATAAAGCCGAAGAACTGGTCCCGTTGATCATTCATCGACGATAACAAGAAAAATGTACTCAAAGGTAACTTATCGCAGCACCAAGAAGAAATATATTCACCAGTAAACATAAATACATTCTAATTTTATTATTATCGATTTCAGTTGGCATTTATCGCTTTATTGGTGGGAGCAGCAAAAGCCAGCGGTGGCTTCTCCAGCTTCTCTTACGACGTTTCGGATCCGAACACCGGAGACATCAAGGACCAGCATGAAAAACGAGTCGATGGCAACGTTGTCGGCCAGTACTCACTTCTCGAGGCTGACGGTACTAAGCGCGTGGTCGAATACTCTGCTGATGAAGCCGGATTCAAAGCTGTAGTGCACAATGAGCCTGCAAATGGGATGGCAGGTTCTCATGGTCATGGCAGTGCCTCTCTTAGCCGTGCCAGTGCAACATTCGGTCATTCTCACCAGAATGTAGCAGCAGCCTCCGGGTATGGTTCACGTGCAACAGGAATTGCATCTAACGCTCATGGATCGTTCTTGGGCGCTGGTTCCCCGTTTAACCACAATGCCAACTCTCATTCCTACGCTGGTGTTGGTGGACTAGCGCACCGTGGCTCTGGGGTCTACGGCGGATTCGGAAATGGTCATTCGTCTCAACTTAACGGTCGTGGTCACGGAACCGGATTTGGATCTAGCCATGGGGCACATGGAAACGGACTTGGATCTAGCCTGGGCCATGGCTCTCAGGGTGCTCCTACAGTTTCTTCTTACTCTCACTCAATCCATCACAACGGTCCTGATGCGCGCCCATACGCCGGTGCTCATGGTGGATCCAATTTCGCCAGAGCGGGTCTCGCTCATGGTAACGGTTGGTCTGCTAATGCTGGACACAGTAACGTAGCCGTGAGCACTGCCGGATGGTCTGCTAAAAGCGGTCTGGGCGGCAGTGGTTGGTCTGGCGCTGGCTTCCCTGGAAGCACTGGTTGGTCTAGCAACGCTGGCTTCTCTGGAAGCACTGGTTGGCCTGGCAACACTGGTTTCAGCGGCAACTCTGGATGGTCTAATGCTGGCAGTGGTGGACATGCCGCCAAAATCGGCTGGTAACACTATATTTTGAATCTGGACTAGACATGAAACAAATTAGTACAAATTATAATATTTAAATTTTAAGTAGTACAAATTCATTGCAAGTATTTTAATGTATTCAATTCAATAAAATTTGTTGGTTGATGTATTATGTAATTTATTTCTTTTCAAATGAGAACCCTTAGCAACACTACATACTTTTTAAGACAATAGCCTAGTGTTTCACGGCAGTCATAGTTGGTACACGTGTAAACGAAACACCCACACCGTAATTAGAATTCTGACGTCGATTCCTTTGGCAAAAACACACTCTTTACATGGCCAAATATGTACGTGGTCTTAGTACGTGCCATAAATAAACCTGTTACTGCTATTTCGAACATAAAATATAACATTTTAACTAAGAACATTTCCTGGCGAGCTGGTTTTGTGATTGAAATATGTATATAAAAAAAAAGTGGTATGGTTTAATGAGCACTTATTGTAAATGGTAAATGATAATTTATTATGTGGTTTCCACTAGAGGTTGTACTTGAAAAATCTTACTAAAATACATTATCTAGTGTCGACCAGGATGTAATTGTAGCAAAGAGATTATTGATGGTCGATAATAATTGCTCAAAATAACTTTTATATAATTTCTCAAAATAAATTATTACCAATGACGTGATAAGAACCAAAACAATAATTAAAACTTATTTTATGTATATGTGTTGCTTTTAGTATCACAATATTTTTATTTTTAAACAGCAACGAATAGTTTTCAGTCGGCTGTGATCTGGAAATGTTTTGCACTTGACAAATTAACGTAATAATTGATGAATAACTTACGTGCTTACAAATAGCAGTCGTAAATAGGTATGGCATTGTGATAACACATGATCAGAGGTAATTTCCAAATCCCCAAAACAATTTTAAGACAGCAATTTATTTTAATAAAATTGTGGAGAGTTATTGGTTCATCATACTATTTTTTTGCATACAGGGATCTTAGTATACATGTTTTTTTTATTAGATTCAGTTTTTTTTTTTTAATTTCATTGCCTCATTAAAGGGCTAAAAATGTTTTTTATTAAAATTATTATGAAATTATAAACAGCCCTTCTTTACTTAAATATTTCGAAATTTATAACTTCGTTGTACTACATTGAAGTTGCCTTGAAGTGCACAAATCTAGAGCGATGCATAATTCAAGAGATTCTAATCTCTTTATATTGTACAAAAAATCTCGTCATGATGATAGTTGAATGTTAATTGAATGCGTAATTTCTTTCGTAATAAATGAAACTAAAAATATTAGGGAACCGGCTTCGTGAACAAGATGTTGATCTTACTTTTACATATTATATGCAGCCGAATAGTAAAAGTCACTGGTGGTAGGACCTATTGTGTGTCCGCACGGGTAGGTACCACCGCCCCGTCTATTTCTGCCGTGAAGCAGTAATGCGTTTCGGTCTGAAGGGTGGGGCAGCCGTTATAACTATACTGAGACCTTAGAACTCATATCTCAAGGCGGGTGGCGACATTTACGTTGTGGATGTCTATGGGCTCCAGTAACCACTTAACACCAGGTGGGCTGTGAGCTCGTCCACACATCAACGCAATAAATAAACAAAAGACAACCACTAAGAAGTATCAAATAATGCGACTTTAGTGTAACTCAATTCTTCTTCTCAGTCGTTTGCACTCTTGACAGAGTGGTCGTGGTCATCATTTCGGATGGCGGTGCGCTTTACAAGACGTCGCCATTACTTGGGTACCGCGGCCCTTCTTGTGCACTTGTAAACGGGACCACTTAGATCTGTCTTTATTTGGTCGGTCCCTCGTAACGGTGGTCTATCGCGCCGTCTTGTAACCTCAATCATCCCCTGCACCACAGGGGCTCAACTGAGTGGTCATCCCGTCGCAACACAAGCCCGAAGACCCTGAACGATGGAAGATAGACGCTGCTTGATGCCGCATTTAGAATTATTTCTATGTAAATAAGCACCTAACATATTTTGTTAATGGATACATTTCTTATTGAATGACTAGCATCGAGCAATGAATAATGAAACTCGCAAAATTAGTTGCGTCATAATAACTGTTGGTAGGCCGTATTGTAAGTCCGTATGTGTAGATAACGGAATTCTGCCTATGTCGTTTTGAACAAATACCCTTCGTTTCTCAAGGCACAAGGCACGGTATTCATATGATGCAGGTTATGGGCTCTAGTTCCTAGAACTAGGTAATAGGTGAAATATCTGTTGTACGCTATGTTAAAAAATATATATTCTCTATGTTAATATTTCGATATTCAATTTATACATTATACTATATGATTTAAATTAGGATTGTATTTTTATTGAGTTTGCAACTAAATAATGTGAAATATTTTATAGCATACTGCGTGTCAAAAAATACAAATCTCGACCTGCAATATATGTTTTAAAATACATTTATCCGAAGTAATGTACAATAACCGTTTGTAATGAACAAGAATCCCTAAATAATGTTTTCATAAACAACACGTAAATGCGTGTTCGTGTAATGATTTTCAGTTATTAAATAGCAGCCATTAACTTTCCAGTGCATCCGCGTACGCAAATGACAAATAATTATGACCTTTAACGATGCACATTGATCTTAATTTCTTTCTTTCTTTGCTGCTGTAGACGGCCTTGCCCTTCCGTATCCGTTGGCGTATCGTTGACGTGTAAGTAAGCTGAGAGCTAGAAATGCTTTTTTTTTCAACATGATATAAGTAGTTTATTTTTTTACGTAACTTTACATTGTATTCCTCTTTCAGTTGTGCTCCTCGTGTCTGAGGGTTGTAACGACTTCCAACCATGACTTTCATTTGCAGAATGTTATGCCATCACATCCCTTTGCTCAGAGAACACGGTAGACGATAAAATCAAGAGTGGAGCCGATCTAGTTAGATCAACACATTTATCCCAATTTTACCTTTCACTTTACAAGTGATTACTAGTTTTTCATGATTGTGTCATTTTTCCTAACAATTTCTTCGAATTCATCTCGAAGGATTCGCTTGAGACTGATGCTAGAAAGCTTTGTTTTGATTGCCAGTTTCAAGAAAATATATGCGTTAGTTCAATATACATTGTATCAAATAGTTATCAATGCCATTCAATTAATATCGTTCTGCCACCACAGTAATAATAAATCAACAGCAATGTGTCATTTCGCGAAAATGTTAATGATCATCACTACACTTACTTAAATTAAAGAACTTGTGGATTTGATTTTGATTTTTATAATTTTTATTAAACGACTTTAGGTACGTAGTTGTTTAAATAAAAAATATTACTCGTCAATTTTCAACCTCCCGATCAAAGTCTACCGGTAGATAACTTAGGGCAAGGGAGCTTATCAGCATAAGCAATGGCATTTAAGTTGCAATTACTGACAACAATTTTTAATATTGGAATGGTGATTTTACAAAGTTCATTATTATTTTTTTACGATACGGATGTGATATTATATTTCGTCTCCTGGTCTAAGTTTAAAGATCACAAAATGACCATGCTCATGCGTCGGCCACGCCCTCGCCTCCGGAGATTCGTATAAAAGCTCCCCGTAAGCTTCATTTGTATCATTCGAGAGGATCCTTTCATTCCTAACGCAATGGCAGCTAAGGTGATCTATTTAATAATTTTAACAGAAGTGATCGTAATATTAAATTTGTAAAATTAAATTTTTTTATCAAGTTTTTTGTAATATTTATCAAACCTTAATATAAATGTGTTTATCTGGATGAGATATCAAATTTTCGGGTGTGCTTTGAAATTTACTTCTTAGATTTTCCGAACTCAGTATATATCCAATGTTAAGTGTAGCCTTTAGATAGCACGTGGCTGTCGTTGACCGTGGACATAATATTGAATTGCTCTAGCGTAGCTTTGGTGACTTGCTTAATTACTTCATATTCGATACTGTGCGCTTAAAATAAAACTGAATTAAGTCTAGTCCAAATATGTATAGCATTCTGTTTGCTTTAACATTAATCGTTTTTTACAGTTCTTCGTAGTGCTCTCAGCTTTGGTGGCAGTGGCCCACAGCTCAGTGGTGCACGCACCATTAGCTAGAGCAGACGCTGACTACACCAGCTTCGCGTACGACGTGGCCGACCCCAGCACTGGGGACTTCAAGAGTCAGGTTGAAACTCGCGTGGGAGGTACCGTCTCCGGGCAGTACTCTCTCATCGAACCTGACGGTACCAAGCGCACTGTGGACTACGCCGCCGATGACGTGAACGGATTCAACGCTGTTGTACGCAAGGACCCTGTTGTCGCTCCCGCCGTCGTTTCTACCGCACCCGCTGTGGTTTCTGCCGCTCCTGCTGTTGTTGCCGCTCGCACCGTTGCTGCTCCTGCCGTTGTGTCCGCCACCCCTGCCGTCGTTGCTGCCAAGACCTTGGTTGCTCCCACTGTCTACAGCGCATCCCACCCTACCGTATACGCTGGCGGAGTGCACAGCGTGGTCGTTCCTTCTTTGTATGGTCGCACATACGCCGCCCCCACGGTAGTTGCTACCCGCGCCTTCCATCCTTCCTATTACGGATACGCCAGCTCTCCCTACGCTTACTCTGCCTACCCCGCCCACCTTTCATACTGGTAATTTATCGAACCTTTTATGGCATCTAACGACTTGTATGTAAATATTGTTACTAGTCTGTACATACAATGTGAATTACAATAAATGAATACATACATCAATCATGTTTGTCTTATTAATTAAAACTAAAAACTAAATTAAATTTTAAATATGAAACTTCTAAATTTGAACTTCTAGTTACTGACAGTAGGGAAAGCTACGAGTCCCTATGTTTAGATACCATCATCCTATATATCTATACTAATATTATAAAGAGGAAAGATTTGTTTGTTTGTTTGTTTCGAATAGGCTCCGAAACTACTGGACCGATTTGAAAAATTATTTTTCCATTAGAAGCCGACATTGTCCCTAATGAACATAGGCTACTTTTTTTTATTTATTTTTTAATTATTTTTTTTTGGTTTCATGTGTGTTTTAATGTTTCCGAAGCGAAGCGAGGGCGGGTCGCTAGTAGTATATTAATTGAGAAAGCAATATTGTGTTTTTTTTTTTTATTGCTTAGATGTGTGGACGAGCTCACAGCCCACCTGGTGTTAAGTGGTTACTGGAGCCCATAGACATCTACAGCGTAAATGCGCCACACACCTTCAGATATAAGTTCTAAGATCTCAGTATAGTTACAACGGCTGCCCCGCCCTTCAAACCGAAACGCATTGCTGTTTCACGGCAGAAATGGGCGAGGTGGTGGTACCTACCCATGCGGACTCACAAGAGCTCCTACCACCAGTAAATCTTGCAATTCTCTCACATTTATAGATATCGTAAGCTGTTCAATCGAACCATAGTGTAAGCGCCGTGGACTTGCGAAAGCACAAAATTTGTTTCAAAGTCATCATTATCCTGCCATTCTTCCAGTCACCTGGGGTCGGCGCAATATATTTTCTCCTTCCATACTCTTCTATCATATACCATTTCTTCGCTCACTCCCCTTTTACCCATTTCGTCTTTCACACAATCTATCCATTTCTTCTTAGATCTACCTTTTTCTCTATATCCTTCCACATTCATAGTTAACATTCTTTTACTAACCTCATTTTCATTTCGTCTCATCACATGTCCATACCATCCCAAACGCTCTTCTCAGCTTCTCTGTCACATGGGCCACTTTCAGACTTTCAATTTGTTTCAAAATAATGATCTTAAATTGATCTGATGCAAACCCATTCACAGCTTAAAGCCCTTTATGGACTACTTGCGTGTCTTGATCCAGAATTAATATAATATCCGAAACGCTGTTAATTGGAGATATTGTCATAGAATGTAGGACGGCACCAACAAATCAATTGCAGATTGCAGAGACAAAGTTTCTCACTCCTCCATAATTTCTCAGACAAATGAAAACCGATTGTTGAAGCTCTTCGCAAGTTTCAGATCAAGTTAATCACGACTTTAGCTCTCCGGTAGTTCACAGTGCAAGATGCAATGCTACTGAAATACGAATTTAAATGAGATGGAAATTATGTGTTCGTTTGCAATAACCATATCATATTTATGTTTCATTTCTGTTAGACAGTGGCTGCAGTTCAGTATAACTCTTTCAAAACTGTATTCAAATTTCTAAGAACAATATAATATAGTTATTTTACAATTGGGAATATACAAAGAACTCTTTAAAGTTTCAAAAATTGTTCGCATGCAGAAAATGTAATAGAAAATGAGAATAGCAAATTTGACGAGCGTAATTATTTCAAGCTTCTCTTTCTCTCTGCTCTGGGATTAGTACCAGGCTCTGTTTTTGTTGTAATTTTTATTATTGCATAGNAATTTCTAAGAACAATATAATATAGTTATTTTACAATTGGGAATATACAAAGAACTCTTTAAAGTTTCAAAAATTGTTCGCATGCAGAAAATGTAATAGAAAATGAGAATAGCAAATTTGACGAGCGTAATTATTTCAAGCTTCTCTTTCTCTCTGCTCTGGGATTAGTACCAGGCTCTGTTTTTGTTGTAATTTTTATTATTGCATAGGCGGTGAACGAGCTGACATCGTACCTCCAGCACTCTTACAGAAGTCCATAGACAACGCTACGTAAACGCTACCACCCACTTTGAGTCATGAAGCTTGTCTCAATTTAATAGCATTGTAAGCAATAGTTTGTGGCCAAACACGACATCCAACTTGGTCTTCTAATATTCCACATCTGAGCTCACCCCATCCAAGTCCGGTCTTTAAGGTATAAAACTCAATAAAAGAGGTACTTAACAGATAGAACTCCCTTTATTTACAATCAACGAAGGAAAAAATGAATTACCAATAAACTTCGGGGTCGATGTAAATGCCAGAATAGCTTGGATATCCGGGGTATACGGGTCCGGGGTAGTTAGGCGAATATACATCAGATAAAGGTGGATAGGCAGGAACGAGAACAGGGTCGGGGACGGCACGGGCGGTTAATAGAGCAGGAGCGGCAGATACAACAGCGGGTGCGACAACAGGGTCCTTGCGCACAACAGCGTTGAATCCGTTGACGTCATCGGCGGCGTAGTCCACAGTGCGCTTGGTACCGTCGGGTTCGATGAGAGAGTACTGCCCGGAGACGGTACCTCCCACGCGGGTTTCAACCTGACTCTTGAAGTCCCCAGTACTGGGGTCGGCCACATTGTACGAGAAGCTGCTGTGTTCAGCGTCTACTTTGACTAGTGGTACCACCGAGCCGTGGGCTACGGCGACCATAGCAAGAACTACGACGAACTGAAAATAAATAGAAATATGAAAATCTGTCCAAAGATTTCATTTTTGTTCCGTTTGGGGTAGAAACTTTGGGCCACTGGGGTCCATCTGCAAAAAGGTTTTTTAAGGACCTTAAAAAAAACTATTTGAGGCCTCGGGAGACCAGAAGGCCGGTACGTATTTTGCACAAAGAATTAGCATTGCTATCCAGCGTGGAAATGCTGCCGGTCTTCTGGGGACGCTGCCAACTGGCGGTGAGCTAACACAGATTTTTTATTTATACGTAGCCTTAAAATAGTACTATATGAAATAATATATATTATAATAAAACTAGTTATAAATGCTAGAAAACTATGAGTTTAATATAAGGGATGATGTGATAAATGATTCACTGATGAAGTTATTGAATAGAATATTAAAAAACGTAGCGTCGATGAAATATTTATGTTTTTTTTTTAAATATCACTATTCTAATTTTAATGATTTTAAAATTGACAGTAAATGAATATTAAAAAAAAAATGAAATTACAAGAGTCGAAAAGCCGATTTTTAATCAGAACAAAGTGAATCTGCTTTTGCCCTATACCTGCATACCAGCACACGATCCACCTAGTGTCCATTGAAACTCATAGAAATCACAATGTCAATATCGCCGCCCATCTTAAGGCATGGGGTTTGTAGTTTCAATTCTATTACATAACGGCTGTCTCATCCCACAAGACTCAGCATTTTCATGCCTTCAGCATTTTCCGGCTTCATTTTGGATTTATTTTTATGTTGGTGAGCATTACGCTACTTATCATACATAATATTATGGACTAAGTCGTTTCTTTTGTGTGCGAAAGTGAAGAAGTAGCGGACTATTCTCTAGGGGCTTTTTTGTACTTAAATGTGAGTGAAACCGCGCGAAAAACCTAGTAATATCACAACTGCTACGTTCTACAAAAAGTCGAAATCATCGTATTTGAATACCGGTTACCTACCGCTCAATAGGCAATAGACAAAATAGGCAATTGGCAAAATAGGCAATAGGCAAAATAGGTATTTTGCTCATTATTATATAATAATATGATATTATACAAAAATTAGAAAGAATAAACACAACATTTTTATCTAATTAGTTAGATTTTTCTTATATAAAATTAATACTTTTATCTTAAACCATACCTTGGCTGCCATTGCTGCTCTTCAAGTAATTCACTCGACGAATGAATCCCTCAATCATCGCACAGTCTTTTATAGCTAAATATTCGCGAATCACTTTTAATAATTAGTTGACGATCTTGAAAAAATAAACAAATGCAATTTGTTCCTTAATATACCTACGTATATCTATAAATTAAAGACTAATTAATGCGAGGTATTTATCATTTGAACGGTAACTACGATGTTTGAACATAAGCAAGTCGTTTCTAGAATTCGATCGAAAGGTTAATTAGTCTTCCGGGATTTTTGGTTGCCAACAGAATTCAATTAATCTAAATGTAATTCTATGTACATCGATACATGCGGTTACATCTATATATTAATACGTGAAGCAAAAACTTTGTATCCCTTTTTACGAAAATTGCGCGGACGGAGGAGTATGAAATTTTCCACACTTATAGAGAATATAGAGAGGAAGTGCACAATGCTATTTTTTTTTTTTTAAATAATGCATAAAAGATACATTAAATCAATAAAGAAAACATTACACACACTACATACCATGTATTTGACGCACACACGCATGCATACTATTTATTGTCAAACTTTTGTTCCTAACGCCTGTTGTCAAATTGAGAATAGATTAAATATTGTTTGTCTTTGTTAATATTTTTTATAGTGTAGTCTTGGCGAAATTTGTGATTATAAATATATTATAAAATACAACCATAATAGTGTACAAACTTACAATTCCAATTAATTATAGTCGAATTTCGACTACTGCGGGACCACTATTACAATGAATTTTATATACGCTGAAGTAACTAAACAAAAGTAGATTTTTTTATTTTATTGGTTAGGTCGGTGAAGGAACTCACAGCCCACCTGGTGTCAAGTGGTTACTGGAGCCCATGGACATCTACAACGTAAACGCGCTACCCACCTTGAGATATAAGTTCTAATCAGTATAGTTACAACGGCTGCCCCACCCTTCAATCCGAAACGCATTACTGCTTCACGGCGGAAATATTTTACGTTACTCGGTGAATCCGAAGCTTATGCACTTGGATTTTATAACTGTATAATTGAAAAGCTATGGAAAAAATGCGAAATATCGTTTCGATATCTATCGGGAAATAGCAATCGATTATTAGGAACCTTCAAATAAATCTTCAATTTGGCTAGCAGTTATTGTAATTAAAGGTTTGAAGGGACCTTAAGCGAGAGATGTGGATGGTAAAGAAAATAAATCGAGTTAAATGTAGTCTG